TCGGTGCGTGGGTTGGTGGGTGGGTGGGTGGGTGGGTGAGTGGGTGGGTGGGTGGGTGGGTGGGTGGGTGGGTGTGTGTGTGTGTGTTTGGTTGCTTGCTTTCTTGCTTGTTTGCTTGCTTGTTTGTCTGTGGGTTTGTGAACTTGCTTGTGTGATTGTGTGTTTGCTTGTTTCTTTGCTTGCTTGCTTGCTTGCTTGCTTGCTTGCTTGTTTGCTTGCTTGCTTGTTTGTTTGCTTGTGGGTTTGCTTGTTTGTCTCTGTGTGTGTGTGTGTGTTTGTTTGTTTGTTTGTTTGTTCGTTTGTTCGCTTGTTCGTTTGTTCGTTTGTTAGTTTGTTCGTGTGTTCGTTTGTTCGGTTGTTCGGTTGTTCGTTTGTTCGTTTGCTCGTTTGTTCGTTTGTTCGATTGTTCCATTGTTCGATTGTTTGATTGTTTGTTTGTTTGTTTGTTTGTTTGTTTGTGTGTGTTTGTTTGTTGGCTTGTTTGTTTGTTTATGTGTTGGTTGTGTGTTTGTGTGTTTGGTTGTTTCCTTGCTTGCTTGCTTCTTTGTTTGTTTGTTTGTTTGTTTAGTTGTTTATTTGTTTCTTTCTTTCTTTCTTTCTTTGTGTGTGTTTTTTGTTTATATGTTTGTGTTTGTGTGTGTGTGTGCGTGTTTGCGTGTTTGTGTGTTTGTGTGTTTGTGTGTTTGTGTGTTTGTGTGTGTGTGTGTGTGTGTTTGTGTTTGTGTGCGCGTGGGTTCGCCTGCCGCTCTTTTTAGTGACGGCGTGGCACAATACGCCGACAACTATGATCTTATGGGGTCTGATCTAGCCCACGTACCTGCCATGACCGCTGGTGGCATCGTCGTAGTTGATGCTGTACGCGGTTCATACTCGCTGTTTGCGGTCACAGATTCTTGCGGGACGTTCTGCGTCGACATCGATGTCGGCTGTGAGCACTAAGAGATACTAAGAGCTTCGAGCAGGCAAGACTTCCGGTTCAGGTTCGGCTGCACGTAAGTTTCACGAACCGACGTGTAGGAAACCTTTCGTTCCTTCTCTCGACTCTTCGGTTTTCCTATGGCAACCGTCAGTAGTGGCCACTAGCGGTCAACACGAGAAACTCGACATCTGACCCTGAAGCTTCAAACTGCCAGAGGGCTGGAGCTCCATGTCTCCCCCACGGTCTAAGTACAATGAAAGCGTGCTATGTTGTTCTTGGTTTTTCGTCTAGTCGTGTGCATCGTGGGAATGTTCCTGAAAGCCCCATCTGTGCTCGATCATCCTCGGCCCGCTGCAGATCAGACAAGGAGTGGTGTTTGGATACATAAGTTCCACAGGAAGGTTCAGCTGCACCGCTTAAGAACCCCTGCATTCTCAGACTAGCTGCAGCGGAGAGAGCGTACACCTCTGACACATGCTGACAGGAGGGTACTCCATATTTAGCATCACCACATCTATTTAGTCGGAGAACTGCGCACGTTGCAGCGATGCATTGCACTGCTTGTGATCACTTCCTGATCGTGTCATCAGAGTCTGACTTGCTTCTGCACGCCTGCACGAGCCAGTGAATGTGAAGCTTCACCAAAGCAAGAGGTGGCTTCTAAATATCTGCATGTGCAAACATTCTCGCTCGCGGATCAAATGAGTCATTGTTTGGAGCCCACTGCTTCCGGACGCTTGTAAACGCGGCTGGAGCTTGCCTTCGGGTTGGTCTAATCATCCCGTTCGATATTGTCTGGTCAGTTCAGGATTCGGACGAGAGCAGGAGTGCATCCCAATCATGCCGGACACTGAAGCGAGTCTGCAGGCTCGTAAACAGCAGTTCCTGCAAATGCAAACAAACTCTGGCCACCTTAGCCGGCACCCGCCCACGTTGTGAAACCGATCAAGAAACAAGATCACGACGCATGAATCTGAATGGCACATGTAATGCGAGGCATCCATCAAATAGCCGCAAGTCGGACAAGGAGCCAATGCCAGGGAACAGGTGGTGTTCGATCTGGGTGGTCAATCCAAATGCCATGTGGAACCTGAACGGCGCTTCTTAGCACTTGCAGGACTGCACCTGTGTAAGGAAACTGCTCCAACGCACTGAAGGGATGCACTGTTAGCAACAGGAGCACATCATGCAGGATCAGCCCAATATGCAGCTGGCCACCAGAAGTCCGACTCAGATGCAAAGTCGACACTCTCTGCGATCTGCATCTTAGCCCACGAGTCATACCTGCACTAAACGAGCTTATGAAGAGCTTTGTGACTCTTGTGCGATGCTGGTTCTCTACGCTGGGACCCCAGTCGGATGGTCAACTCACTCGATCATGCTCTCGTGTAGCAGCATGCATTCGCCCAATGCTTGTACTGCATATGGACCGTCCACGAGCCGTGTCAGGGATTTCGGACCAAGAGAATTCTAGAGTACATGTCCAGTTCTTTTCTGTCGGACAGTCCCACTGCACCAAATTGGTTTGCATCAGACAGCCGAGCTTTAATCTGAGATGTGCCCCGATTTTCCTACGGCAGCTGTCAGAGCACTTGTTGGAGTTCGGGTAGAGGATCACGTGCGCGACCTGGGAACAAGGAACGAAGATGGCCCCCGCGGTGAGGTACATGCACCTTGGCAGCGTCAGTCGGCTCTTTTCGCGCCGTTAGGATATACATGTGTGCAAAAAAACTGCAGTAGTTTCTCAGCATGAGAGCCCCCCCCCCTCTTGACGCTAGCGCCCATGTCGCAACCAAAGCACAAGTAGCACAGGATGGAGGGGCCTTGGCTTGCTGTCTTACAAAGGGTGAAGCTTGTCCAGCGAAGCTTGTCCACCACATCGCATGCCGGACAGCTCGCTAGACACCGGATCCTTTTCAAGATGTTTGTGCCTTTATCGCCTAACCTATGATCGCACTCGTTGATATGCACAGTCCTCGAAAAAGACCACCATCTGCTTTGTGCATGGCATAATTGCAGCAAGTGCATGTGGAGCTGAGGTGCCGAAGGTGTAGTGCAAGATGCACCACAACGGGATCTCGAAAAGAACTCCACCCAAGCCTGGATGTTCGCACCACTCCCCCGGCATGTCGTCTCCAACTAAACTGTGCCGTGCAAATCGTGGAAAACTGGAACGCTGCGCTACACCTCTCTCCTTGCAAACATATGCCTTCGACACGAGCCAAGCTGGGAACCTCTCTTGTTTTCCTGTCTTGGGCTCTTGCTACCGAGACGACCCGTCCAATGTGAGAGGGGCAGGTGCAACCCTATTGTTGGCATGGTACCACATAGCACTTGTATGCACCTGTCCACTCGAAGCCACGAAAATGAAGAAGGGCGTAAGAGAAAGTACATGTACATGCATATGAGTGCATGTGACAACGTCAGGCATGTATGCACATCCGCATCTATGTATACATGAGATGATGTGTATGTGTATGTACATGTATACACATATACATATGCGCATACATGTACTTACACGCATGTGTGACATGCACACATGTAAAGATGTTATAATATGTACACGTGAATTATAATATAGTGGTTAATGTCAACCGCTTCATTGTGCAACCGGGCGACGGTAGTCGACCTTGTGCCCGCCAACCTCAGGTGACGGCCCGCGCTGACAGATGATGAGAGATCCAAAGATGCGACCACGATGCTCACCACGTGCCTTTGGTGGAAGTGACTGTGTCAGTCGAGCAACATGACCACGGATAAGCAGGTCCACGATCATGCCTAGGGACGAGGTCGCTCATGACCGCCACTCGACTCGAGCCCAGATACCTGGCTCCTGCCCTTAACACTAATCTAGGATGCAATGTCCAGCCGTAAAGCCTCTGGTAGCTCCCAGCCGGCAATCAAAGTCCTTCGTTGGGCCACGGCACGCTTCACACCGAGCTCGATCACGGTGCCAATGAAAATGCCAGGCAATGACAATGCCTTGTGGTCACACTGATTGGCGGCAGCTTCGAGATTCGAATTCTCAACTGTTGTCGTGTGCTGGTGCTGGTGCCTTTCTAGTACGGCTTGCAAGAAGAGGTCACGGCCGGCGAACACGTGCACATGCACTGCATGCTAGGCTAGACTATGCACCTACTCGGCAGCGTCCAGGCATGCCAAGCGCGCATTGGGCATTGGCAGGCCTTCATCCACCCTGGCAGCTTGTCAGCGATCCAGATGTACTCCTTAATGCTCTGGAATAGAACAGAAACGATTCATAGAAAAAGAAGGACATAAACGAGCGGATGGCATATGCGATGCCCAACTGCGCAAGCTGAAGCATGAAGCATCCAGGACTCCACATCGACGTCTTTCTCGGCATCCCCATCCTGGTTTGTGCTCACATGGTGGCTGACGACGTGTTGGTAGTACCAGCACCTCGCAGTGACGCTTGGGTCTTGGGTGTGAACACTGTTCCTGCACGCGACAACTAGTCAATCCTTCAAGACCCCTCAGGCTGCAACATCGAAGGTCCAACCAGGAAGAAGCCGGCAAACAGGCACAGCCGGTTGACCCATTCCTGCCATGCGACCACGATTGTTGCAACATCGCTGCTGTCACGTAGCTGGCAGTTGCAACACCCTCACGGTGGCCAAACAAGACACGGCTAGAAGCAGCTGCAACTAGATCAGACTAAACAGACACACTCAACAAACCCAGAACCGCTCCCTTCACAACACACAACGCTATCTCGGCTGGGCATCGTTCTTGCTGACTTGCTGGTGGCCGCCCTCATGGGAGAAACGAGTGCCCACGGTGGCGACAATGCATCCGGCAAGCAGGCCTGCAAGACGCACCAAATTTGACCCAAGCTTCTACGACTGCTCATGCGGAATTTGCATGAGCGTCAATTAGTTGCAGTCTGCTGGTGTGAATAACAGCGAATTCTACAGAGACAAGTCATAATCTAGGCTGTTCACGCACAAAGCCAACTTGCCAAATCATCCAAGGTGCTGGACAGGGGGGTCCGGACAACAAAAAACAGCCACATCCTTGGCAGCACAGTAAAGCACAACCCCTGCATGCGAGACAACGCTCATAGATCCGTTGAAGCCCAAGCCCTAGGGTGTTTAGATCCCCACCAACAGACCTCTTGCTAGGACTGATTGGTCGGCCCTTCCCTTCATGTAAGCCAATGTAAGCCTTATGCTGTATGCTCATCCCCATGCAGGTTCGCACTGCAGCATTTTCAAACTGCAGGCAGCCAGGCAGGCAAGGTGTCTCAATGTCTGGCCCTGCACATGAGAAGCCACACACTTCGGCAACAGTGGAGGGAAGCCCAAGTTGCCTACACAACACAGCCCGGGAGATACTGCACACCCCTGTTATCAAGAAAATCCAAGGGGCATGATGCACCACATGATCGACAGTCCCTTAGCAGGAAGTGTTGATTGAACTATATCATCTAACGGTTAATGTGACACTGATCTCGTGCCATTGTTCCTAACCTGCAGTGGAGCCACTACGAACGCGTGCGGGCGCATTCCTTGGCTTTGGCTCAATTCATACTGCACACTGCAGTATTCCTTTGAGCTGTGCGGCGTGTGCTGCCGCATCCACCGGGGAAGGCCTTCCGCACTCCTTCCTGGCTACGAGCAAACACCGGTTTCAACGCTTTTACATGCCATCCTGAAATCCCGCACTGTCGTTCGTGATTCCAAATTATAAGACCCGGTGCACACTTCGGGCCTTGATCTCCTCATAGAAAGGATCTGGGGGTGGCGGAGCCACCCCATGGGCCTTGAGAACCTTCCTGTGCTTGTCGTTCCACGGATGATACCTCGGAGGAGATCGGCGAGGCGAGGCTCTTCCCACTTGGCTCTAAGGACCACGATCCTTCTCAGCTCCTCTGCCCAAGGCTCCGGCGATTCAAAAAGGGCAGTGCAGTCTCGGCCACGCCCTGCGCGAGGCGAAGTCACAGCGCAGCTGCAAGCTGAAGCAATTGAACCCTCAAGCTGAGCGAGATTCACCTTAGACCGAAAAAAGCCATCTCCCACAACCACCACAGCTGGCTGCATGGCACGACTGAAAGCCAACTCGTCTAACACCGGAGATACGCATCAACTAAGCATCTGGATAAGTGTGACGTACTTTCTCTCAGTCTGTAGTGATGCAGCAAAGGCTTTGCATGAAGTGTGGCATTGCGAGTCGCGCTCGCCTGTCAAGATAGCAAAGCGTCCTCCCGGATGCTTGTCCACGAAATCATGCCTGGGACTGCGACAAGACTACAGCAAGCTCATCGAGAGCATCGGCAGCTCATTTCAAATCATGGCGCAGGTCGTAAGAGTTGCCGTGGATGTACCACAGATTTGGATCGTATGTGACAAGCTTCTGGTCCTCCTGGTGCTGCAGATCGATGCTGCAAACAACTGCAAAGATGCTGACACCAGTTGCGTCGCGAATCTCGGAAAGCGGTACCCTACATCTGCGTGAAAACACCATAGAAGTCGAAGTGCACATCCAGCTCCCAAAATCCATCTAGCCTCCTAACTTCTGTGACTTTGCCCAAGCCCGGGCACCGCAAGCATCACTCTAGTAGCTATCAGGATTGCAGCAACAGGGACATCCCCTCTGAGAAGAGTTATCCTGAAGCCGCTGACAGCAACCGGACATTGGGCATTTCGCCTTGGGCGTTGACTCGCTGGGAGAGTCAGAGGCGCGCGTGGAGTCTGGAGAGTCGGAACGAGCACCTAGGCTTCAAA